TAAGGTACCCTCTTTTGTGATTTGCATCTGCGTCCGTGTTCTTGGAAAGCTTCCTTGTTCTCTAGGCCTCTAAAGGGACGAGGATAAGGTACCCTCTATCGTGATTTGCATCTGTCCCCGTGTTCTTGGAAAGCTTCCTTGTTGACTACGCCTGCAAAGGGGCTAGGATAAGGTACCCTCTACTGTGATTTGCATTTGTGCCCGTGTTCTTGTAAAGCTTCCTTGTTGACTACGGTTGTAAAGGGGCGAGGATAAGGTACCCTGTATTGTGATTTGCATCTGTACCCGTGTTCTTGGAAATCTTGCTTGCTCGTTACGCCTCTGAAAGGGCTAGGATAGCCAATCTTAAAGGCAAAATGGTCTACAGAAGGCAATTTTACAAGCCAAATTTTCTACAGAAGGCAATTTTACAAGCAAAATTGTCTAGAAAAGGCCATTTTTAAAAGGCGAAATTGTCGCCGCTCGTGTTCGAACTTTAATAGCGCACCTCGCGCGCGCCAATCTTTTTTTGTGTTAAGTGCAAAATGATCTACGGGGCTTAGGGCAAGGCCCCTATATCGAAGCCAATCTTAAAGGCAAAATTATCTACAGAAGGCAATTTTACAAGCAGGGGAAGCACGTGGATGTACTCATGGTTGACAAATTGAGTTTTGTGTCGTCGGACATGCTGGATCGCATCGATCAACATTTACGTTTGGCCAGGGACATGCCCTACATACCATTTGGTGGCCTACATGTTGTTTTCATTGGCGATCTATACCAGCTGCCACTTCCAGGAGGTCTCCCGATCTTTGCTTCCAAGCTGTGGCCACTCTTCGAGCTGTGTGAACTCGATGGCAATCAGAGGGCAGCGAGAGATCCAGCCTGGGCCGCCTTGTTGGCTCGTGTACGTGTGGGCCAATGGACCCAAGAAGACATCCAGACCTTGGAAAGCATGGTCCTGAAGAAATACGGGAACCGCAAGCCTGCAGCCGGCGCCGTCCACTTGGTCGCAACACGGAGAGCCGTGGCAGATGGTAAAGAGTGCGTGGAAAGTGCCCACGCAGAAATGCTCGAGTGCCCTGCCGTGGACATCTCGGTCAACGCATGCACCTTGCTGCCGCCAGAGAAGGCATGGCCACTATCAGAAGACACCGGTGGCCTGGAAGCTCTCTTGGGCCTGGCCGTGGACATGCCCGTGATGCTCCGCAAGAATATGGACGTACAAGATGGCCTGGTGAACGGAGCTAGGGGCGTCGTGCAACACATTGACGTCCACGAGAGCGGGGAGGTGCAGAAGATCTGGGTCAAGTTTGAGAAGGATGCGGGCAGCAGGTGGCAGCGTAACAATCAATGCGCCAGTGTGGCCATTCAGCGGCGCACAGCTTCGTTTCAAGACAAGGACGGCGACAAGGCGGAAAGGCGTCAGTTCCCCTTGGTTTTAGCCAAGGCCGTCGCAATCCACAAGAGTCAGGCTGCCACCTACCACGAAGGCGTGCATGCCCGGCTGGATGCGTCGGTCAAACAGGAAGGGCAGGCGTACGTGGCCTTGAGCAGGTCTCCCACCAAAGACCTCTGCACTTTGGAGCGCTTCGATCCAAAGAGCCTGCGCTTCAACGCCAATGCCGAATGGGCCCCCTTGAAGTTGAAGGCCAAGCAAGCGCAGAGCACCGGCCCAAGGAAGCCAGCCTTGCAAGAGCTCTGGCAAGAAGTCATCCGGCCGACTGAAGACGCCGCCTACTACCAGGGCAAATTGGCCTGCGCCACGCCGCCGGATTGGAAAGCATATGCCGAGGAGCAGCGGCTTAAGGACTTGGAGGTGGAAGAAGGCAAGGCAGGCTCGCTGACCTGCCCCAAGTGTGGCTTTGTAGCAACAGACACGACGAACTACAAGAAGCACGGCCGTGTATGCCCAGCCAAGAACAAGAAGTCGCAGCGCCCCAAAGTGGCCGGGAAGGCGAAGGCCAAGCCAGCCATGAAAGATTCGAAGTCTGTTCCAAACAAGCAACCCGTCCACCAGCTTCAGCTTGCAAGCTTTGCTCCATCAGGTGGCAACCCTCCTGACCGCCACCTCCATTGCCTCCACCGGCACATCCACCAGACGCCGAACATGGAGCAGACAATGTGGACGCAGAGTTGCCCTTCTTCCAGAAGCAACAAGAAGCACGCTGTGGTATGCGTGCGCTCAACAATGCGCTGGGGGCGGCAGTGTTTGGGCCCGCGGACATGGAAGCCGCCGCGGCTAGCTACATGCAAGAGCTCGAGGGCATTGATGAAGATCGGGCAGAACACATCGGGCCAAGCGGTTGGTATTCTGTGCAAGTCCTCTACACAGCCTTGTTTGCAGCTGGCTACACCCTTGACTTCCACCACCCAGTGCACACCATGGCCGAAGCACAGCTGTCCCCGGCCTTCGTCCAAAATATCGACAATTGGCATTGGGTGGCCTACCGCTGGGATGCACATGGTGATTTGTACTTGCTGGATTCGATTGAGCGAGGGCCACGTCTGGTAACCAAGGAGGAGTTCGTTGAATCCTGTGGGCATCGTTTCACCTATGCCGTACAGATGGTGTCAGGCGGACTACCTCAGTGCAGTCATTGCATGTTATATACTACTACCGCTGGACTTCCCAGAATGTTTTTTTGGAAGCTTAGGTAAGCTCTTTCAAAAGCGCCCGAAAGCACAACGGGAAGTGAACCGAGAAGCGACCCAAACCGGTGAGGCGTGGGCAAAGGGTGTCCTCGAGTCGGCCAAAGAGGTGCTGCAGGTTGGTCCGAGTTCGGTGTAGCGTAGCAACTATCTTATATGTGTTCAAAGCCTCTCTCATGTGGTTTTTCGCTTCGCTTCGTTTCATGTTGCCATGTGTGTTTCTTTGCTTCTTGAATGACTTGAAGGAATTTTTTGAAGTTCTGGTTTGCTCAGTGGTTTGCTCTGGTTTGGCTTCCAACTCAACTGCTCGACTTGTGGCTAAAGGCGCTGTCCAGCGACGACGTGTTGGATGCTCCATCGCTGCGCGCTTCCAAGGCCTTCGGTTTTCATTGAAATTATCAACGGATATATGGACGTATCGTGACCTGAGCAGACAAGAAACGCCACGTAAAACACGGGACTGCAAGGCTTTGACAGTTT